AAAAAAGCATTTTATTTTGTTTTAATATATTATTATAATTAATAATATAATAACATATTTTATTAATGAAGGTTAAATTATGAATGACTGATAACAAATAACCGTGCCAAAGGGAGCAGATATTTAGACATTGGAGAAGAACCTGTTGAAGGAATTAAAGCAACTATATAAATTAAAATGGAATTGCGCTATATCTGCTCAGAATACATTTACTTCAAGTGAAGCATATAAAACAACCACTGGAATGAAATTAAAAACCAGTTAGAGTTTAAAATGCAGGCAAGATACATCTTAAGAGACAGGTAAAGAAGGTTTAAATTTAAATGATGCTGGTTTAGTTCAGTCTTTCAATATTTGAGAAGCTGTCACAAAGAAGAGGGGGACAACATATTCCCCAAAGCACCTCAAGACAAGACAAGAAGTAGTGGATGGAAACTTATCAAGTAGAAATTCAACCTAGAATTAAGGAGACATTTCCTGACAGTGAGAACAAATAACCAGTGGGACTGTTTCCCTTCAGAAGTTGTGGGTGCTCAATCATTGAAAGTTTTAAGAAGAGATTGGACATAATTTGTCTGGAATGGCATAGGGTCTCCTGCTTGGGCAAGTTCTCTTCTACCTCTGTTATTTTGTATTCTGTATTTTATATGTCCAAGTGGAATGGATGAGCTATACCAGAGCAAGCAAGCTGAGAGCCCACTGCAAAAATGACTATCTTGAAATGGAATCTAAAATACAGACTTTGTGGATATATCAAGTGGCCTACTTTGAGTGGTTCACATGAAGAAGTTGCCCAATTGGTAATTTTAGGGGTTTTTTTTTCTTAAGAACAAATATAAAGTTTGGGGATTGTTGTTGGTTTTTTTATGTTCCTTTTATCATAGAATCTCTAACTTATTTTTCCCATCTTGGTAGAAATTACTTCTTTGATTAGAGGAAATTGTCTACATCTTATCTATAGTCAGAGGACTCAGGTGGTCATTAACATTTACTTGTAGTTCAAGGACTTGTATAAAAAAGACAGCAAATCAGAAATCAATTACTTTAAAAAAATCCTGAGAAGACAAATCCACTTTCCCCCCAATGAGTCATTTTAGAGATTGCTGATTAAATTTATGTCTGTACCCTTTAATGATTATCTTTAGTTTCCTGATACTCCCCTAGAACTCTCATCTTCAGATCTGTGCTATTCAATATCTTTATAAATGGCCCAGAGGATAGAATGGAGGAACTATTCTAGGCTGTAAGGGGAAGTTGGCTAATAACTTTAGAAAACAAAATATCTTGGTTTAAAAAAATAGAATGCACTAGAGCAGATTTGAGGAGGATTTGCTTGGTAGTAATGAGTGTGAGAAGAATCTAAATATTAGTGAACCATCAACTGACCATGAGCAGCAATGTGGTGCAGCAGCTAAAAAAAGCGCAATTCAATGTTGGCCTACATTAAAAGAAGTACTAACTTTAGAATATGTGGTAATAAAAATTCCAGAAAACCCTGTGCTGACTTGGAATGGGCTCAGAAATCAGTTGTCAGGATTATGAGAACCTTGGAAAGCAATAGGATAGGATAGGATAGGATAGGATAGGATAGGATAGGATAGATAGAATAGAATAGAAATAGAATAGAATAGAATAGAATAGAATAGAATAGAATAGAATAGAATAGAATAGAATTCTTTATTGGCCAAGTGTGATTGGACATACAAGGAATTTGTATTTGGTGCATATGCTCTCAGTGTGAAAAGACAAGATACATTCATCAAGAATCATAAGGTACAATACTTAATGATAGTCATAGGGTACAAATAAGCAATCAAATCATACTAGGAAACAATCAATATAAATTGTAAGAATACGAGCAACAAAAAGTTACAGTCATGCAGTAATAAGTGAGAGGAGATGGGTGATAGGAACGCTGAGAAGATTAATAGTAATAGACTTAGTGAATAATTTGACAGTGTTGAGAAAATTATTTGTTTACCAGAGTAATGGTGTTTGGAAAAAAACGGTCTTGTGTCTAGTTTTTTCTGGTGTGCAGTGCTCTATAGCGTTGTTTTGAGGGTAGGCGTTGAAACAATTTATGTCCAGGATGTGAGGGGTCTGTAAATATTTTTACAGCCCTCTTTTTGACTTGTGCAGTATACAGGTCCTCATTGGAAGGTAAGTTGGTAGTAATTGTTTTTTGTGGCCATGTTTAATTTGTTTGCAAAAGTAAACAAAAGTAAAGTCTGGGCCAAACTATTTAATTCGATTTTATTTCTGCTTTTTAAATTTTGTATGTATGTATTTTATTGTTGGCTGTTCACCGCCCTGAGTCCTTCGGGAGTAGGGCGGTATACAAATCAAATAAAAATAAAGTAAAGTAAAGTAAGTAAATGTCTAATAGAAAATATGATAATCTGCAAACATCTGCAAGATAATCATGTGCAAGGATTTAACCTCTTGGTATCTGTAAGCTCAGCCTGTTTTAAGTGTGCATGCAACATCACAACACACCCAGAAAGAGGTTAGGGCTTCCATTGTTTTCACCTCCATCTCTGTTGACACCACTCACTGATTCCAATGTTTTTGACTAAAAGAAGTGAGATTCAGGCTAAATATTAGGAAGAATGTCCTCGATGCTTAAGCAGTGCTAATTTTGCCTAGAAGTATGGGACCTTTGCCCCATGGGAATTTTCAAACAAGGACTGGATAGCAGTCTGCTGAGGATTATTTAATGGATTCTTGCAACGAACAGAGGGTTGGTCTATATTTTATATATTATTTATTTATTTGTATCCCACATTTATTATTTTTTTATAAATAACTCAAGGCAGTGAACGTACTTAATACTCCTCCATCCTCCTATTTTTCCCACAACAATTACCCTGGGAAGGGACTGGGCTGAGAAAGAGCAACTGGCCAAAAGTCACCCAGTGGCTTGCATGCCTAAGTCAAGACTAGAACTCACCTTTTCCTGGTTACTAGCCTGATGTCTTAACCACTAGACCAGGGGTCTGCAACCTTAAATACTCAAAGAGCCATTTGGACCCATTTCCCACAGAAAAGAAAACACTGGGAGCCACAAAACCTGGGTGGGCATGGCCAACTCTATGTCACTCACTTCCACCAGTCACATGACCCCTAGCCATGCCTACCCAGCCGGTCATTAGGGCAGAGAACCAGTTGTTGAAAAACACCAGGAACCACAAAATCCTTTTGACATATCTCTCTCTCTCCCCTTCCTCCCTCCCTCCCTCCCTCTCTCTCTGTATCTCTCTATGTGTCTCTCTCTCCTCTTCTCACTGTATTTCGCTGTCTCTGCCCTGGTCACTTCTCCATCCCCCGCCGCCACCCTTACCTTCTCAGGCCAGGCGAGGAGTGACTGGGAGGGGAAGGTGAGGGGCGGGGCCAGCCAGTGGTGGGATCATCTGACAGGGAGCCACAGCAGAGGGTCCAAAGAGCCGCATGTGGCTCCGGAGGCACAGGCTGCTGTCCCCTGCACTAGATCAAAGTGGCTATATAACCTGTAAATCCCTTTTAACTCAGATTCTATGATTTGAAGATTTGATAATATTTGGGATGGCACAACAAAAATCTTAAGGATTTAATCCTGAGACTTTGGGTCTGCAAAACGTATGTTCTATCACCACAATTTCTCTTTTGGAAAAGGTTTTAGAATTTTCTGCAAAGCAGTAAAATGGAACAGCAAAAACATTCCCTATTATTTTCATCATACAACATTTTCAGTCCAAGTATCTTGGAATCACAAACATGTTGAATTACACTCACCTGGATATTTTGTTTTCTTTCAATGGTGCATGTAGTAGCAAAAGAAGTTAATCTTCTTTGAGCATGCTGAGACCCCAAACCATAGACATACCACAGAAAGACAGATGATGCCTGTCATCTGCCATGTTTTGTAAGAGTAGTCCTTTTATTTTGAAAGGTAAGCTATCTGTGCAGTGTTTAAATACTTCGGTTCTTCAGCATTTGAGTCAAGTAAAATGAAAATAAAATATACACAGAAGTAATTTACCTTGATTTATATCCCACATTTTTTTCTTGAGAAGAAATCTCCTTTCCCTTAACTCTGTTGGGCTGTTCTAAGAGAAAATGACTGATGAACTTCCCTCCAGAATCTCATAGAAACTGTGGGTTTGAACCTACATTTTCTCAGTTATAGCCTGTTGTACCCTGATTTTCAAACTACCGTTCCCTGCAAGGAGGAGGTGATTCTTAAGATAGCCAGTTTCAAGTCAAGTAAGCCTTTAAAGAATAAGAGCAGCACCAAAATTTAGCAAAGAAACAATCACCGTCCAGGTCTCTTAGTTAGGAGAGGCAAAACATTTTGCATTCACATTCTCCCCCAACACCACTCTAATTACAGGTAGTCCTCGACTTACAACCACAATTAAGACCAGAATTTATGTTGCTAAGTGAGAAATTTATTAAGTGAATTTTGCCCCATTTTAAGACTTTCTTGCCACAATTGTTAAGTGAATCACTACCTCTCTGAAATTAGTGACACAGTTGTTAAGTGAATCCTCACTTGCTTCCCCACCTGCTTTGCTTGTCGCAAAAGGGGATCACGTGAACCTGGGACACTGCGACCGTTATAAATATGAACCAGTTGTCAAGCATCCGAATGTAAATCATGAGACCATGGGGAGGCTGCAAGTGTGTGAAAAATGGTCATAAGTCACTTTTTTCAGTGCCGTTGTAACTTTGAACAGTCACTAAATGAACTGTTGTAAGTTGAGGACTACCTGTATATCCTTGCTTGTATCATATCCACCAGCTCTCAAGTAGACTAGGATTTTTGCAGGAAAAATAAGACACATACAGTAAGAGTGTCTGGCATTTCTGCATTCTATAGAATATCAGAAACTGGAAAAATCATCAATCACATTGGCTAAAAATCTCCTCAAACTGCCAGCAATGCATCAGCCCCTCCATTTCTGCATAGTTTAGAGGTTACCAAATAGCTAAACCCAATATATATAAAAAAATCAAGCATGTCAGTATGATGGCTTTATTCTTTGACCTCCAACCTCTGTTTTCTGTCCTGTGATCCAACATCACCAGATCAAGTCGATTTCCTGCAGAATAATAAATGAAAGCATATACTAGTTGACCCACAGCAAAAAAAAAAAAAAGTTAGTCACATCCAACGAGGCCTCAATGTAAGCCAGGATAAAAAGGTGTCCAGCAATAACGCAGAGACAATGTGTTTTCCTTTCTCCATGATCCTAGCACAGTGTTTCTCAACCTTCACAACTTTAAGGTGGGTGGATTTCAACTCCCAGAATTCCCCAGACAGCAAAGCTGAGGTCCATCCATCTTAAAGTTGGCAAGGTTGAGAAACACTGCCCTAGCACAACACTGAAGACTGAAAGTTGAATCGTGGCAACTGGACTTATTGTTGGCTCAAGACATTTGAGAAAAGTCTAGTTGCCATGACTCAACTTTCAGACAACTCTACCTGGATAACTCAGAATCTTTATCAAATATTGCTACGCACCTTGAAGAATAAACTCTGAGGTTGATGCTGGAGGAATTGGTATATTCCAACTAACTCTCTGTCTAATTATCTTATTCAGACTGATGAAGCTACTTGAATGAGCCACAAAATGTCTCTAACAAGAAAGAAAGTCCAGTTGCCATGATTCAAGTTTCAGAAGACTCTACCTGGATGATTGAGAACCTTCATTGACATTTTGCTAAACGCTGAAATCTGTCTTTTCAGGGGAGAGAGGAGGGAAGAGAAAGAGAAAGAAGAGAAAGAGAGAGAGAGAGAGGGATAGGGAGGGGAGAGAGAGAGAAGGAGGGAGGGAGAGAGAAGGAGAGAGAGAGAGAGAGACCATGCAATCTACTTACCTAGTTCTAGCATTAGAAAGGCCAGGATTTGGGTCATGATATCGCCACATACATTTCTTAGTTTTTTCCTCATTGTCATTTACATTTGAACCTATATAGCAGAACCCCAGTTTGAAGGCTCTTCTAATAAAGCTTTGCTGATGCTGACTCTCCACACTGGCAGGAGTTGTACAGGTGAGCATCGCCCATCAGTGGCCTCCTGTATCTACCAACGGCACATACACATTGCATCTTCTAGAATACTTCCCTCTGGAAATGGGATTGATGGAGGATTTTGTCTGGAAATTGCATCCTCCATCTCTTTTGCTTAGAATTTAAAAGAGAAAGGAAGAGGAGGAGAAGGAAGCCAGCCTTTTCCAACTCTTTTGAAAATAACATTTTTCTCCTGCATTTCAGCAAAAGAGAGAGAGAGAGAGAGAGAGAGAGAGAGAGAGAGAGAGAGAGAGAGAGAGAGAGAGAGAGAGAGAGAGAACAACAAGAGAAAGAATAATAATTGCCTTTATATGATAAAGTAAAAGCCACAGGGGGTATATTTATTTATTTATTTACAATCACTTGTATGTCACCTCTTCTCACAACTCCAGGAGGCTAGGATCCTGAGATGGATTAAGTGATGAAACATATAAAAGAGAGAGGTGGATTTATGAAAAACAGGAAAACAAAAAACTCAATAAAAGGCACGAAGACTAGCTTTTACTGAAGAACTGGGCCCCTGAAATGAAATGTTTATGCGTATGAGACAAAAAAGATCTATGTATTTAAGAGCGTGCTGTTTCTATAGCCAAAATGAGACGTACTTCTTAGCAATTTACTTGCTACTTGAAAGAAAACGGTTTCCCTGGCAACTCTGAAACAAACAAGAATGAATTGCGTATGGATGAAGCACGACCTCACCTGAAAGACAAACAATCAAATGTGTGCTTGTGTTTGTAAGTTCATGTCTACCTATGTTCCGATACTGGCTTTAGAATGATTGGGAATATTACAGTGATACGTTCCATTGTTTCCACTCACTGATCAACAGAAGGCAAAATGCACGTCCAGGGCATAAACACAGGTTTGCTGTAGAAAACACAGGTTTTGTCCACACAAAAGCCCTGTTCATAATATTTATTGGGACTGAGAATGATGTATAAATAAAAATAAAAAATACATTTTTCAGTAACACAAATAAGGTATTTCATTTTCTTCTTTTGTGGTAGTTGGAGTTTGATGAAATCTAGTTTCAGATGCTGCTAGAGCGATGTTTACAATTTGAGACTAAGGCTAAATGGTGATTTCCAACTTGTAAAAGTTTGCTTCGGTTGTACTGATCAGTGAGATGTCTGTAGAATTACCATACTGGAATGGACATTAGAAGGTAACAAAGGAATACATATTATCCTAATTTTTTGCTGTCATGTAGGGATCCTCTGAATTTTTGCACCCCAAATCTTGTAGTCCTAATGTCTACAACATGCCAAATTTTTCCATAGCTATGTAGTTAAATATGATAATTCCTATTAGAAAGCATTGGAATCGCAATGGTACAGAATCCAAAAGCACCAAGGACTTAAGTCTCTGATGTTCTATATTACTGAGGTTCATTCCTTCTAAATTATTTTCAAATTGGCATTTGGGGCATGTACATTTACATTTATTTTCTCTCTTCTAGCCTCTAACGTAGGCCTTGCTAAGTCAATACTGATCACTGCATAGTCTTACATCATGTTGCATAATTTGCTAAAAGGAAGCAGTTTTTTAAACTATTCAGGCCAAACTGCAAGACTCTTAAACCTGAAAGGTTATGCCACTGGAAATTACCATATTTTTCGGAGTATAAGACGCACTGGAGTATAAAACGCACTGGAGTATAAGACGCAGCTTAGTTTTTGGGGAAGAAAATAGAGAAAAAAAATTCTGCCTAGCAGGTATTCATCTGACTAGTCCTTAGCCTGGTCAGCTTCAGCACATTAGTTCCCTCGCTGGTTTTGAGGTTGGGGCTGGTTGGGGCATCAGCTTCAGCATATTAGTTTGCTCGCTGGTTTGAGGTTGGGACTGGTTGGGACTAAAAAAACAGTTTCAAAAGCATGGCTGATCATCAGAGGGAGCTCCAGTGACTAAAGCAGGCAAAGGGAAGGGGTAAGAGAAGGCAGCAGCTGTTCCAGGTAGCCATTTTGGGCACCGTGCGTCGTGTTTTCAGTCTCCAAATGCATCATGCTCTTGGATGGCGATCCACAGCGATGTGCTTTGGCGATCCCAGCAACCTTGAAGGGCTCTCAAACGGAGCATTTGGAGGCTGAAAGTGTGATGCGTGGAGCCCAAAAATACAAGCCATTGTCAGTGGCAATCTCTGCAGACAGGAGAGGGACAGGAAAAGGCCTCTTGGAGGCCGAAGGGTGGGGGCTGGTGGGTGGACAGGGTTACATTCGGAGTATAAGATGCACCCAAATTTTCAGCCTCTTTTAGGAGAGAAAAAAGTGCATCTTATACTCCAAAAATACGGTAACCCTTTCCCACCTCAGTCACCTTAAGATGCAATGTGATTGCCATTCCCAGAACTGCCAGCCAGCAGGGCCACAGCATATATTAGATGAGACAGATGAATTAGGACCCTTGTTTAGGCTAAGTTAACATCTAATGATGGCTAGAGAGTATACCAACATCCCATTTGTGTCTTGATATCATGATGGGAAGAAAAGCTGAACTATAAATGAATATAAATGTCCAGTACAAACCTTACATAGATTGGAGATTGTGTTTTATAAGTAAACAAATTGCAAGAAGAAAAGTGAAGCACACACTGTAAGACTGAATGGTCCACTAACACTTTCCCTTCTAAAAATTCATCCATTCTTTCTTCTGTCTTGCTCATTCTTCCCAAACTATCCTAAAAAAATAGAAATGGAGGGAGAGAAGGACAACTATGTCCCTTAACTCATGAAGTACAGCAGAATCCAATGAAATGTAACTTTAATGTGTGTTTTTCTGTCATTCTAATTCTTTAGCTATTTTTCTGTTCTCCATTGAGTTCACCAATATCTACAGAATCTTGTCAATTAAAAGAACGAAATATATAAAACTACATAGTATTGAAGCCAAATTATGTTCAGGTGGTGGACTTAGCTCTCCAGATTGAGATCCTGGAAAGTCACTACCAGCCCCTGGAGATCTTGATGGGTTAACTAGTCTGACTCATTTCTGGTTTGCTAAATATAATGCTTCTAATGATTAGCAGAAAGGGGAAAATACTCTATCAGTCTTTGGAATTCCCAAAATGTTATTGCCATCAGTTTGAAGGATGTTAGCATTCCTTATACTTGGGCTCAGCTTTCATTTCTGGATTAAGAAATAGGGCTGAGAAAGAATCTGAGTAAAATCTAATCCGTCTGGCACACGTACCCCATATGCACACAAAGTGGATATTCCAGTTCACTGCCTTGAAATATCAAATGCTTATTTTTGTTGTTATTTAGCTTTTTGTCTCTCTAGACCTCTTCTCCACCCCCCATCCCACCCACCCCTGTCGCCCCCTCTAAAAGGGAAATCGGTATGCTCTGTGGGGTCTGTTGGACAATCAACATTAATTCAGAAGGGAAGCAAACAACCATCTCACTTTCCTGATGCCAGGTGTTCACTAATTGTGCAGCTGAATAATGGATAATGGCACATCCTAGGATATTTATCAAGCCACGTATCTTTTTACAATGCAAAAGAGATCATTTGAGATTGTAGCCGTCTCCTCCCCCCTCCCACCCACCCACCTTGCCCTGCTGCCAACTATTTTATTCATTAAAGAGGAGCTCTCTGTAATGTCTGTGACCTGAAAAGAAAGGGAACGAGAGGGGCCACATTACCTGGAAACAATAATGGAGTGCAATCCGACATGAGATTGTAATTAGGTTTAACCAGGGCCAGACGGCAGTTGCTATAATCAGCGTCACTCAAAATTCATTTCACAGTTATGAAAGGAGGTGAGGTGAGCTTCACTTAATGGTGACCAAAGCTAGCCTGTTTCCCATGCATCCACAACCTTTTGAAAGAGAGACAAAAAAAAAAAGGGGGGGGGATGGAGGGAGACGATATTGTATTATCAGCACTCTAGTCAGCATCCTGTCTCTTTCAAGAAACAAGGTTCTGCCATCCTAATGAGCTCTAGGGGAATAATAATGGGCTGATTATCATCTGAACTTTCAGACATTGTATTATCCTTTAGGGTTTCTAAGAAGCTAATATCCAAAGATGAATATTAGAAACATTTTTTTTTTTTGCCTTTGAGTAAGTTTCTCACTTAACAAACAATGCAAGGTATTCTGGAAGCTGCATTGAAAATTTAGGGTGCCGGTGATGTAGATAATGCCAGGTGTGTGAATACACCTGCTTAATACAACGTGGGAGACAGCCACATGCCTTATTTGTTTCTCCAGCTTCCCAAGGTAAATTCTTTACCTGGAGAGAATGAAGATGATATGTGTGGAGTAAGAAGGGAGCAACTGATTGACAGCTGAAATAGCCCACTTAATGTGTTAGAAGGTTAGTTAATGAGTTATAGTGATTCTTGGTTCATAGTGTAGCACAGCCATAGATGGCTACAGACAAGCTACAATCTCTCAATTGCCATTCTGCAACTGTCATGTTGGGCAATTATAAGCTTTCCTGACAATCCTTCCTGAGTTGTAAGAATTCCTGTCTTCTGGAGACCGTCTCCTAGTTAGGAGCCTCCATATGGAATACAAAATGGACAATCTTGCGTTCCCTTTTTCTCCAGAGAGGGTTGAATTGTTCTTTGCTACAGTCGTAGCAAAGCCATATTCAGAACATAATACCTTCCTTGGAAGTCCATCAGTCTCATTGTAATATTGGCCATATCTCCTCTAGTTTTAGAAAGTTTGAGCTGCTTCTTTTTTTCACTAAGGAAAAAGCAGCTCCAGCTGCAAAAAGGTTACTACCCCCACTCGTTGTATTTATCATATTTTATTCCCTTCCTTTGCATAATATGATACAACCTAAGTGTTAAACACTGTTAAAACAGCAGCAAGTCAAGACAACTAGAACAAAGATTAATTGTATAGCTACAATTATATTTTTGAAAAGGCAACTGGACTGATTTTTTTCTGAGAAGAAGATAAAAACGTTTCGCTTCCGATCCCGGAAGCTTCATCAATTGTATTGCTAAAGTTTCCAGGATAGGAAGTAAAATGTTTTTGTCTTTTTCTTCTTTGTCAAAAAAAAATAAAACCACTTTTGGTACAACTATGAACTGGCTGACTGAGAATCTCAGAATTCCATTGCTATAATTATACATAAAAGGGTATAATAATACATCCTTATTTCTGCAACGTTAAGGTAATAAATATGACATCTATTAATGATGATGCTTTCTTTATTGGTTACAGCAGCAAAATCTAAAATGCACCAACTTAATGCTGAGATTCAGGTGCCTATTTGCTGACAGGTTGAGTTAATACAGATGGCAGTCCTGCCAGATCACTAGGAAGCCCAAACCAGTGGTGGTATTCTGCTGCTTCTAACCGGTTTGTGTAAACCAGTAGTGGTGGTGGCGGGAGGCTCCGCCCACCTGCCCAGACATCATCTCTCTTGCTCTGCGCATGCGCGGAGGTGGTGCGTGTTCCAGAGGTGGGTTTCAGCAGGTTCTGACCAGTTTTGGAGAACCGGTAGCAGAAATTTTGAGTAGTTCGGAGAACCGGTAGTAAAAATTCTGACTGGCCCCGCCCACATCTATTCTCTGCTTCCCAAGTACCAGCTGATCAGGAGGAAATGGGGATTTTGCAGTATCCTTCCCCTGGAGTGGGGTGGGAATGGAGATTTTACAGTATCCTTCCCCTGCCATGCCCACCAAGCCATGCCTGCCAAGCCATGCCACACCCATCAAGCCACACCCACAGAACTGGTAGTCAAAAATTTTGAAACCCACCACTGGCGTGCTCACATTTGCGAACCAGTAGCGAAGGTAAGCGAATACCACCATTGCCCAAACTAACAGGAGTGGAAGAGATCTGCAAGGAGCTGAAATCCTTTATCCCGCTTGCTATTTAAAAAAAACCCGAGCTAATTAGAATAAAGCTCCCACATCAATATTATTTTTTTTAAAAAAAATCACAGGGGAATATTAGCAATAATAGCAGTTGAGTCAACAAATGTTACCTTGAAACAAGGTTACTTCAAACCTTTTTTTTAAAAAAAATCATCAAATCTACAAACTCTCTAACTTTGCCTGTAAAAAAGTAAGTAGAGCAGGTGGGAAGCTGATACCTCTATTTTGAGTTTTCTGAAGGTGAAAAACTGATGGATAACCTCCATTCACCACTTTGAGGGTGAAAGAATAGTCTGTGCCATTGTCAGTTGTCCATCAACCATTTCGCTCTAATTCATGTCTAATTACAGCTTGTCTTAGAACAGCCTTGGGCTGCATTTATGCTTCCACAATAATACATATTTTGGTAATTTAGGAGAAATGGGATTTTCTTGCTCTTAGAGTGTTTCTTCAAGCAAAGTAAAATGCTTATTATGTCACTATCCCAAATTATGCCACAGGTCTGCTGAAAGAGGCAACATCTGGTTTAATTATAGGAGGTGAAGAAGGAACCACACACTACATTTACGCTGATTGCTGTAACTCTGAAATTTTCTTCTTCTTCTTTTTTAGGCTGCAAACTTGTACTCTTTTTGTTTCCTAATGGAGAATGTGTGCACCATTCCAGGCATTTTATCTAATTCAATATTGTAATTATATAGCTGTTGCTTAGACTGCACCAGGGGTGAAATGCTCCCGGTTCGGACTGAATCGCCCGATCCAGTAGCGATGGTAGCGGGTGGTTCGGAGAACCGGTAGCAAAAATCCCTGCGCCTCCTCCCCTCCACCATGCCCAGCTGAGTTGCACGATCATCAGAGGCTTTTTTTTTTTTTTTACTTTTAAAAGCATTTTTTCTAAACCTCTTCCAAAGAAAAAATGCTTTTAAAAGTAAAAAAAAAAGGCTTTGATGATTGCGGCTCAGGTGGGATAGTCAGAGGCTTTTCAAAGCATTTTTTTCTGCAACCTCTTGGCCGAAGAGGTGGTAAAAAAAAAATGCTTCGAAAAGTCTCTGACGATCCCAGCTGAGTTGCCTGATCGGCAGAGGCTTTTCAAAGCATTAGAAAAAATGCTTTGAAAAGTTAAAAAAAAAAAAATTGGCTACGCCAACCCAGTCACATTACCCCCCCCCCCACCAAGCCACGCCCACAGAACTGGTAGTAGCAAATTTTACATTTCATCCCTGGACTGCACGCCCTCTATCTGGTGCCTTCCAGATGCATTAGATTATACGCTCCTGCATGGCCAGGGTCAGGGATGCCTGCAGGGAGGGTAAAAAAGCCAAGATGGTGGCCACAACCTTGCTATTGAAGTCCTGCCTTGCATTGTGATGCCCTTGGCATGGAGCAAGGCTTCGATTGTGTGGTTGTGGTGAACATCTCAACCTTTGTGACCTCATCCCTGAGGAGATTCCCTGGGCAGTGGTGAGGAATGTTGTAGGTTATAGTTAACACTTTCTTCAAGGCTGCATTTTTTCAACTCATACTTAGTGCTATTTTATGCACAATTCATACCCCAAGAATTCCCCCCCCCCAAGTGCTGCATTTTAATATATTATTTGTGGTTAGTTTTATATGCTACCTATGGTTGAGAAGTTCAAAAAACAGCATATGTACATTGGAGTCCCTACTCTCACTATAATCACAACAACCCTGTGAAATAAATTGGCTTGAGAAAGAAAATCATCTAATGCAGCATCTCCCAGTAGTACCTTCGCTACCGGTTCGGAACTGTGAGCGTGCATGTGTGCGTGCGTTGATTCGCTCACATGTGGCACTTCTGTGCATGCGCAGAACCTTCTGTGCATGCACAGAGTGTCGTGATAACATCCGAGCGGGTGGGCATAGCCTCCCGCCACCGCCATTACTGGTTCACCTGAACTGGGGTGAACCGGTAGAAACCCACCAATGGTGCCCCCAACCTTTTGGGCACCAGGGACCGGTTCCATGGAAAAAAATTTTTTCATGGCCCGGAGGGGGCATGGTTTTGTGTTCTGCCTGCCTCCCGTGAATGGGGCTTGGCTTGTTTGTGTGGCTCTGTTGCTGGCATGCCGGTCCATGGACTGGGGGTTGGGGATCCCTGATCTAAAGAGCTTCTGTGGCTTAGGTTGGACTTAAATCTGGGTTTCTCCAGTTGTTTCACTTTGGCCATGTCATGCAGGATAATTTACTGGAGAAAGCAATGATGTTTAGAAGAGTTAGTGATAAAAAGAAACCATGCCATCAAAGAACACGGTGGCTGGACACTATCAAAGCTGACACCAGCCAGAGCATAGAAAAACTCAAAGAAATAGTGCAAGATCGGAAGATGTGGAGAAGGCTGGCCCATAGAATCCCCAAGAGTCGAACTTAACTGAATGGATAACATCATCATCGTCACTGTCAACCTCATCACTCTCCAGTTATCAGTCCAACCAGCCAACAAAGATAGTGTTATTATCTCCCCAGCAAGCTTTCCCTCACTCAAGTAGGACAGCAAAATTTGCTTCTAACCATTAACCAGATCCAGATGTAATGTGAAGTCTTTCATGAAAAGAAAAAGATCTTTCAAAAGAAAGCAAAACTACATTATATCTAGAAAATATAAAGTTCTCTAATGTGGTCTGTGTTTTTCTATTTAAATGTGTAATGCATTTGGGGAGAAGCATCTGTGTTTTTCCTTTTTGAATAATTTTATTAAGTATTATATTGAACAGATAAAATAGATATTAGACAATCCCCAAAATACATTAAAAATAGAGAAAGTGCAGGAACTCCCTCAAGAAAAGAAAAGAAAAGAAAAGAAAAGAAAAGAAAAGAAAAGAAAAGAAAACAGAAAAATCACCCACATGTATTCTAAAGAGCTGGAGTTCTTTTGTGAGACAGCAGATATATATTGCCTTTTTGGAATAGTGAATCTTTTTGAAGGGTGAACGAACGTAACCTATTTTATCTTTTCTAGAGAACTAGTAATTTTCATATTGCCAGGAGCCACATTTAATTATTTTCCCCTGCTATTGTTTATATCTTTTTGAAACAATTTAAGAAAAATATGATACAAATAGAAGAATCAGATACAGGTTTATTGACTTGATATATAGGCAAAAAGCAATAAGTCAGAAATACCATAAAACAAATATGTTGCAATGATCATTAGAGATTCATGAAATATTTCATATCTTTTTCTAATAAAAAGTCAGATTGTTGAACTTTAAGCTAAAAGGGCTTGGTTAACACAGTTCAGGATGTTAAAAAAAAAGACTAGATGGTAAACAATTCATTAAATCGGTACTATAAATTGTACATTCAAATTAAGATATGAACTCTAAAACTCAAATTTTCAATGTGGCACAGTTCCATGTATAAAATGGTTATCCAAGAATAGTTTCCAATTAGAATTAAGTCTACATCAGAATATGAAATTATTCTCAACATGGAGACAGACATACTCCCACAATTTAATTAGCCAGTCTTCCGAAGAGGAGGTCAGAGATCTTTTCTAGTAAAAATAGAAAAATATAGAATTATTGCAATTTACTTATACAAAAGGAATTTGGAGTATTTTGAAGGCATACATAGTTCAGTGAAATCTGAGATTGCAATGGGGGTTACAACTTTCAAAGTTTGTTCCATTCTTCAATTTTCCAGTGTTGTTGGACGTAACAACATTGCCACCAGATAGGATTAAAAGATCCAATGTGCTCATTATATTTCCAACGTTTATTTCCAGCTATGGTAGCACAGTGCTTAGAATGCAGTATTGCAGGCTAACTCTGCCCACTGTCAGGAGTTCAGTCCTGATTGGCTCAATATTGACTCAGCCTTCCATGCTTTCAAGGTCAGTAAAATGAAGACCCAGATTGTTGGGGGAAATATGCTGACTTTGTAAGCCATTTAGAGAGACCTGTAAAGTACTATGAAGTGATATATAAGTATAAGTGCTATTGCTATTATGTTGGGCCTAGGGATCAGTTGGGGCTGTTGCTGCTGAACCATCCTCCCTGATGTGTGCTCCTTGACTCCATAAGCAACCTGGCATTGGAGTTTTACCAGCTTATAGTGTGTGTGTGTGTGTGTGTGTGTGTGTGTGTGTGTGTGTGTGTGTGTCTTCAATTTGCCTTAACTGGGAGAGAGGTCTGGGGTAGTTTGGGAGGTCATGGCCATTGTAACAGCCAAGGGCTTATACCAGGTCATCCCAAACCTGATGTGAAATAGTGATTAGGCACCTAAAAATAGAAGGTTGTTGAGAAAGTGGTTGTGTGACAACCACTGTGTGACAATTTTAGAGGATCCTAGAAGAAATGGATTATCTAGCTCCTTTTCAGTTGGGTTTCTGACCTATCGGTATATGACAGTGGTGGGTTTCAAAATTTTTTACTACCGGTTCTGTGAGTGTGGCTTGGTGGGCATGACATGGCTTGGTGGGCGTGGCAGGGGAAGGAGATTACAAAATCTCCATTCCCTCTCCAATCCAGGGAAAGGTTACTGCAAAATCCCCATTTCCTCCCAATCAGCTGGGATTTGGGAGGCAGAGAATAGATGGGGGTAGAGCCAGTCAGAATTTTTACTACTGGTTCTCCGAACTACTCAAAATTTCCACTACTGGTTCTTCAGAACTGGTCAGAACCTGCTGAAACCCACCTCTGGTATATGACACTAAATATGGGACTGAAACAGCATTAGTTGTGCATTTGGATCACTTTTAGCATGAGCAGGATGGGTTAGTGCATCCATTTGCAGTTGTTGACTTCTTGGAGCCTCTGATAAAACCAGCCATAGTATCCTTCTGGACCTCCTGGAATGGGCAACAGCATATTGTTCTGGCTCTACTCTTTCCTCTACTGCCAGCACTAGTTGGTGTTGATTGGGAGTGAGAGATCCTATACTTGGCCCTTGCTTTGTGGGGTACTGCAGGGTTCACTCCAGGGGTGGGTTCCGCTTATCTTTACTACCAGTTCACATCATGCCCGCCTGTGCGTGTGCTCTTCTGCGCATGCACAGAAACTTCTGCATAAGCGCAGATCAACATTGATGACGTCCGGGTCAGTGGGCAGAGCCTCCCACCAGTTTTACTACCGGTTCTTGTGAATCAGTCCGAACTGAGGGCAATCCACCACTGGTTCACTCCACTCCTATTTAACACCTTGATGAAGCTGCTGGGTGAGGTTGTCCATCACCATAAGATGACGCTTCATCGATCACTGATACCCAGCTTTATTTCTCTGCCCCTAGCAAATTAAACAATGCTATTGATGTCCTGTCTGTATCTGGACCCTATGGGGATTTGAATGGGGAACAATATGCTTTAGTTCAACCTTAGCAAGACTGAGTGGTTTTGGATTTGAGGGCATGCAGGTTCCAAGGACTTACCATCTTTGGTTCTGGATAGCGTGACATTGCTCCAAACAGATTGCATCTGCAAGCTGGAAGTTCTCCTGGACTCACAGCTCTTGTTCAAAAAGCAGATAGCAGCCATTGTCAGGAGGGTATTTAAATTCATTTTGCTCTTTAACGTCCCTTCCCTGCCTTCTGCGAATAGAAAAACAGCCTGGCTGGTGGGAGATTGCCAGTTTAAGGTACCCATTTTACCCTTGAAACTGTACCACTCCCAGACAAAAATAGGAAAACTTTAGCTCACTGACATTAAGGATGCTTTGGAGACCCCAAAATTGGTACTGAGCATTATATAGAGAGAGTCAGAGCTCTGAGTATAGTGGTTAAGGCCTCAGACTAGAAACTGTTCTAGTTCTGTGTTAGGCACAAAGCCATCTGGTTGACTTTGAGCTAATCTCTTTGAGCTAATCTCTTAGCTCTAGGAAGGACCATATGTAAAAAATCTTGCCAAGAATACTGCAGAGACTTGTCCAGGTAGTCCACAAGACTGAGACACAATTGAACAGAAGACAGTTGCCTGTCTGTCTGTCTATCTGGAGAGAGAGAGAGAGAGAGAGAGAGAGAGAGAGAGAGAGAGAGAGAGAGAGAGAGAGAGAGAGAGGGAAGAGAAAGAAAAAGAGAGGGAGAGAGAGAGAAAGAGGGGGAGAGAGAGAGAGAGAAAGAGAGAAAGAGAGAGAGAGAGAGAGAGAGAGCGATTCCATCAGCACCCTAAATATTAACATCTGAAAGAAGCTTTTTTTTTTATAGTATGAAAGTCTGCATTGAGAAAGTCTGCATTGATATTGATTATGGTCAGGCAGCATATTAAATAAGAACATACATACATTCAAGAGAAGAAAGACTTCAGAATTGCAATTCAAGGTAAAGAATAAATGACCTTGAACAGATAGAATGAATAGCACAGGCTCTTACACAAAACATCAATATGTTTGGGGTTTG